TAATAATAATAATAATAATAATAATAATAATAATAATAATAATAATATAACAAAATAATTCTAACCATATTTATAATCACATTCACTTATTTATATTCCTATTAAATATGTTGGCATACATATAATTATGAACAATATTCATATTTTACTTAAACATAAGAATATTCTTTCTTCATCTAATTTCTATCTCTTATCTCTAAATATTGATAAAACCTATTCCACATTAAATAGTATTCTGTGTCTCCTTTATCTTTTATTTTCAATGTCAATCTATCTATCTCTGTACAGCCCAATATTTTCTGGATTATATTTTCATCTGGTCGGGTGTTCTCATTTTTCCAATATTGTACAAATACAATTCTTGCTGCTGTCAATATATGTAACATTAAGTATATAGTCCCTTTGTCATAATTTTATGGTATTATACCTAACAAAAATATTTTTAGTTTAAAATCTATGTGTTGCTTAATCATCTTCTTCAACGTGAATGACTTACTAATGAGCTCATGAATGAGAGCTGAGTTCTCTAGCCTGATGTCAAGCTCTCATAAAAGAGCAAAACAAAGGAAGCAGATGTCAGGAAAGTGTTTTAATCCAAAGAGATTATCTTCAATATCTTATTCCCAGGTTTCTTGTAATCTGGATTGAAATTCTGTTTATGATATAAGCTATTTCTTGGCAGCTTATTTCATAAATGTAGCTTAATTGCTTTTGTCTATCGTTACTCCTATTGCTTCTGTTACTCCCAACTTCCCCCAAATTTCTCATATAAATTACACTGGAGGAAAATTGAAGGAGGAGATTCTAGGTAGGCCACCTTGAGCTCCTAAAAGAAAGGGAAGATACAAATCTAACCAAAAACAAGTAAGTACGGTAAAATAAAAAGTGGCCGGATTCATATAAGAAGAAGATAAGCAAAACAAAACAAAACAGCACCAAAACCATTGCCTCATTAGGGATCACTAGAATGTGGTTACTGTTCCTTCAAAGCGTCTAATTCTCTCTCCTAAAGACAGGTTTATGAATCTTCTTCCTCAGATAGGGAAATAGCACATCATGTCCTGCAAGGGCCTGAGAGTAATTTCCTTCCAAAACAATCTGCATCATGAAAACTATCTTCCACCAATTAACACCCACAAAACATCCTTTGACCTATCTGGATCATTAAGAAATATTAACATTTTGGGACCAAATCCCAATGAGCAATCAAATTTTACATTGAGGCAAGCCCATGATAATAATACTACCTTACTTGGACAGCAGCTTCACAATTACCAAACTCTCTTCTTCTCCTTCTTCCGCTTCCACTGAATCATTCTCTAGTTCAATGTGTCCTTCTGGTATAATATATGTTGGGAAAATTTCTTCCTCTCCCCTGTAATATTTCTGTGACAACTGAAATACCTGGGTGTGTCCAAATGTACTATACATAAAAAGGAGGAGCTGCAACAGCTAAACCTTCTGCAAATTAGACCAGCTATCCTATGGCTGCATAAAGATTTTCCGAAAGAATCATGTTCATTGGCACCCATATTGCTTAATTCACTTAGCAATCTTATTCTTCTTGCAAGTTCTGTGCATTTTTGTGACTACGTGCGCACACGCTTGCATACCTCAAACATTGTTGGGGATAAGCAACATTAGACATAAAGGAGAAAAGAAGCAATGAATAATAAACCAAAGGAACTAAAACACAAGGTAAGGAAAAGAGAGGAAAATATAACTAACATCAACATCATCCACTTTAAAGGAAGTCTTAACTGCTTCCATTCTTGACAACAGGAATTTCAACATTGATAGTTTCCAGATTCGGGTATTCATGATTATCTGTTGGAAAGCAATAGAACCTGGTTGTTTTTTTTTTCAGATTTATTTCTTGCTTCTTGAGAAAAGGACCGAGCAGTAGTCCAAAAGTAGATTTGTTTAACATTTTTGTATTGCGTTGCAAAAAAAAAAAAAGGAGATTCATCTTAAACTACTTTCCTTTTCAAGTAATTCATCTATTTTTCAAAGTCATTTATGTGTAAGGGAGTATGTGAGAAAGCACCTTTCCTTCAGGTTTTTGAAAGACCTGTAAAAGTTACTGTTTCATACCAGAAACAAAGCAGTGACTAAATTTGGAAAAATAACAACAGGAGATATGAAATGTGCACATTTCAAGAGAATGTGACTTGGTGCCGTTTCATTTTGTTGTAGGCACTGTAGAAACTCGATAAATTAATGATTCCGGATATCTGAATTTCCAGGAGATGTAGTGTTCTTCAGCCAATTTAAGTGCACATGCATCCTAGAGCAGCCTTGAACACCCAGGATGGGCTTGCTATATTTAGCATTTCAGGGACTGTCCAATGGTCACAACATGTGAGGAAATCATACAGAGTCGGTGGGGCTTCTACACATAGATAGGGCCAGTATTTTCCAGATTTTCAGGATCTGGATTTGGTGTCCTTCATTACAGTATTTATCTTTCCATTTCTGAACAGGGTTTACATTTATTTCAAGATTTAATGACTGGTTTTGCATGTGTTCTGCCTCAAAATGTCAGAAAATCAGCTGAACAATGTTTTAGCAATCTTGCCACTGAAATTGGCAAGGACTATCCCGGAATTTTCAGAAAAAGGATTTGGATGGCAAATGCAGCCCTAAGGCTACAGGTTGTACACCACAGTGCTTCTTTGGTATCTCTTGCACCAGTTTAATTAATACCGTGAACAGAATATTGAATGCATGTCTTAATACCTTTAGTGTTTTGAGTATGGTTTTGATCCAAACACTAAGTAAACTCACTTTGTGAGGTGATGGGTGGTTTCTAAATATGATAAATATATAAGTTCATTTCTTAAAATATCTTCTTGTCTTTTTTTTTTTTTTGCTTGACTGCTCCTAACAATACTTTGCCCATATGTTCCTCCATTTGTCATTCGGCACCTCCCAAATATACAGAGATGCCTCATCAATAGAAAGCAGAAAAACAGGTGCCTGACATGCATGGTCATATGCAAATACCCTTACATGTGTGAACTTCCATACACAGAAGAAAATAAGAGACAACTGCTGAAGATGGGGATGGGATTTCAACCTCCATGCCACGTGAAAGCTCCAGAGATCGAGGCCTTTCTGACATCCATGAATCTTTCTCCAGTAATATACTGATGCACTGCTCCTTATACTTTCAGTTTCCAGCAAGTGCTTAACCCTAACTGAAATTTCAGTTACAAACAAAAGAAAAAATGCAAGGGGGAAGCATCTTCAAGACCAGTGCCAGCTTCTCAATATCATGCTTGATAGCTTAGATCAGGGGTGTCCAACCTTGGCAACTTTAGGACTTGTGGACTTCAACTCCCAGAATTCCTCAGCCAGCTTTGCTGGCTGAGGAATTCTGGGAGTTGAAGTCCACAAGTCTTAAAGTTGCCAAGGTTGGACACCCCTGGCTTAGATGGTCTGTTTGGGTCCTTTGGCTTGAGGATGGAAGAGATAAGGTGGGGAAAACTGGGTTGGCTAGAAAGAAGAGGCAGGCAAAGCTATTAGGATGGTGGGCAGCAGGGGTGGGATTCAAATTTTTTAACAACTGGTTCTGTGGGCGTGGCTAAGTTTGTGGGCGTGGCTTGGTGGTCATGTTATTGGCTGGGCGTGGCCAATATCACTCACATCGAGGCACGCATCTCCTCGCCTGGCCTCTCATGTCTGTGGGGATGCTGCAACAGTCGTAAGTATGAAAAATGGTCATAAGTCACTTTTTTCAGTGCTATTGTAACTTTGAATGGTCACTCCACACAAGCAAAGTACCAGCAAAGGAGGGGAAAAAAACTCCAGAGAAGTTCCTGAGACAGGAAGTCTAGTCCTGCCAAGAATATAATAAGGGTCAATGGAGAGGCAGTTTCTGTAAGCAACACCAGAATGTTTCCTTCCTGCCTTCCTTACAGGATTAGGCCAGTAATTTCTTCTAACAACCGGTTCTCCAAACTGCTTAGAATGTTAACATCCTGTTCTAGCGAATAGGTGAGAACTGGTAGAATCCCACCCCTGGTGGGCAGAAGGTGATATGGTGGGTCACTGGAGGTAGGTTGCCCTCAGAACAGGAGATCTCCGTATTTATTACTGATTTCAACTTCCAGCCACCTGTGCATTGCCCCAAGTCCTGGGGTATCGGAGATCCTGGTTTTCAGCTTAATACTCTAATCACCACTTAGAACAGGGGTGTCAAACTCAAGGCCTATGGGCTGAATCCAGCCCACAGGGTGCTTAGATCTGGCCCCCAGGGCCACCCTGGAAACAGTGAAGGACCAGCCCGCAGTGCCTCCACCAGCGAAAACAGAGCTCGGGAGGGCAGATAGTTCCAGGAAGCCATCACAGCCAAAAACGGAACTGGGGAGCCCATTTTCACTGGTAGAGTGCTCAGGCCACCACAGGTGCCCCTGACATGAGTGACATCAAGCTGGCCACATCCACCCTGGTCATGCCCACCTGGGTTTTTTAAGACTCTGAAGATTTGGCTGTTCCTACAAAAACTTGTGCAATGTGGTTAAGCAAGTTCTTCTGGCAATGCTGTTTTTATGAGTTGGCTTTATGAGTTCAGTGTATTGCTTCGGTCCTTGGCATTATGGGTTACATGGCTAAGTATCATTTTAATCCTATATGTTTCCTAGAATCACTATTGTGAGATCTACAATCTTAAAAAAACATTTACTTAAAACAAAAAATATACATTAACACAGTAGAGTCCTACTCTGCAACATAAATACTCAGTCCAGTGCAGTTCCAAATAGATAAGCAGAAAATTCTCTCATCTTTCTTTTTAAGGTAATTTATGACAATAAATTACAAAACCAGCTGTAAAGATACAGAAAGCAGAAAATGACATTCCCCTCTACTTCAAAGGAAGAAGTTGTGAAGCCAGTTGAGCAACAAGACACCAGAATTATTCTTGATTCAAAAGAGGAACTAAAGGAACTGAAATCCAGTTAGGTCAAGGTAGTTGTCATTTCAAAAGTTCTTGCTCATGATTTTCAATCTTGAAGAATGACTGAATTATTGTAGACTAAAAGGGCAGTGGGTGAGATGAAGCAGAGACTCAACTAGGTAGATCAGATAAAGGGAAGTTAGTTATCTGTTCACTTGAAAAATGAATGCTTCATCTTGAAATTTCTGATAAACAATGTTCTAGGTGTAGGACAGATTGGCAAACTTAAGAAGGGTGTAAGCAGCCATGATTCAGGAGAAGATCCCAACTTAATTCCCCCCTCCCCCCCGACCTATTGGGACACTTAAGTCTGGGCTCATCCAGTAATATGTCTCCAGAATTATCAAACTAATATTTTGGACAGGTCTACCCGGAAAAGCTCACCGGAAGCGCTGGCGCCGCCATCTTTTTTTGATGAAAACGTGCTTCCGGTGAGCTTTCTACCCGGAAAAGCTCACCGGAAGCACTTTTTCATCAAAAAAAGATGGCGGCGCCCAGCAAGCCAGCGGCCCGGTAGGACTTGTTCCACGGACCGGTACCGGTCCACGGACCGGTGGTTGGGGACCCCTGGTTTACAGGAATTTTTTTTTAAAAAAACTGTTCTTTCATCCTGACTGGGCTACACTTGTACATGTGTAAGTTTGTATAAATTTCCTCTTTGCTGATTGGGGTTGTTTATCTGATTTCCTCATTGCAAGGGAAGAACTGAAGACCATAGGTGGCCCAGTAGGCTGTGCTTGATGAGACTTGAGAGAAAAGGTGTGTGATTTGATGGGTCCTATCTTTTCCTTTTATTTTTATTATTGGAATTTGATGGATATTATGAGAAAGGCTTGTATGTGTGTTGTTTGTGTGGTGGTGCTTAATGTTTGGGGAAGTATGTGAATTAATCAATTGCAAGCTGTTTTTCACTCAGTCTGGAACTTCAGCTGTGAGCATTTAGAAGACCCAGCAAGGGCAGCCATCTGTTCCTAGCATTTGGCTTTAGCCTATCTCTGTTGTTATTTTCCTATGGCTACTCTCCTTGTAAGCTCCGCTCTTCTTCCCTGACTCTGCAAAAATTGTCTGTGTTCTCCTTGCTAGCTGCAAAGCCAGGACCAGAGTTGGAGAAGGTGCTTCCAAAGAACATCAATGGGACCAGAGTCACCAAGACTTCTACTGGACTTTTACTGACTGTGCTTTATATTTTATTGAGACACATGCTTTCCTTTCAAATCTGCCACACAGACTGCTTTGAGTTTGTCTCAGGATTTCTACAAAATACAAATACTGTGAGATTGAGTCTAACTTTTTGTGCTTTGGGATTGCTAATTTGAATTTATAACTTTATTTTCAATGGCCACATGTATCAATTACATTCTTCATGACTGTGTGAAATCAATATGTGGTTTTTTACAGAGCCACCAACCTTCCTTAGAATATCAAATTTTAAATCAGATGGGACTGGC